CGCTCCACTTTGGCACTTTCGTAAATTTGATCGACTATATACTTGGTACACACTTTGACCACTACCCATAGAGGGTCCTAGAAGAAATTCGTCATCGTGGCATCATGAGGTGTCAGGTTACATCACATTAAAGATGCATTATTCCCCTATTGGTTTTGTACACGTTTTTCTTCAAATGGAACTTCGGAAGTACAAGTCTGATTGGGTTAAAACTTGGTATGCATATTGACATGGGTGTGTTATAGATGGAAATTGAAGTGACATCATCATCAAATGTCATGTGAAGTCCCTTAAAGGAGCATTTTATTCCTTTATAGGTCTATATCTACAGAACTAAAATGTTCGATTCTCCATAGGTTTTGTACACGTTTTCCTTCAATTAGTACATTTTGGCACTTTCATAGATCTGATTGACTTCAGACTTGGCAGACACGCATATCACCAGCCCCAGATGGTCTTAGAAGGTTGTCGTCATGTTGACGTCATCAGGTGTCATGTGAGGGCGCCCTAGCTTTGTATTCTTTGCATGTATAGGTCCGATTGCGTTGAAACTTTGCATGCATGCCCTCACATTGGGGTGTCTTTCATATGAAAATATACGTGCCGTCATTGTGACATCATCGGTTCTCATGTGAGGGCGCCCTAACTTTACATGATGTGCAGCCCCATATCTCCGCAAGTATGGGTCCGATTGGATTGATTGGCATTCTCTCATATTGGGATCTGTTATACATGTATTTGATAATATAGCTGAAATCATCGTGACGTCCTTAGCTGTCATGTGTGGGCGCTCTAACTTTGCATCATTTCTAGCATAATATATCCACAATTACATGTATGCGTCCGATTGGGTTGAAATTTTGCATTCAGTTTAGTTATACACCTGAATTTAGGTGAAGTCAAGAGGACATCATCGGTCGTCATGTGAGGGCGCCCTACCAGGGCATCAAAAAACACGAAACAGCTTGTGTTTGTCAACAAACACATCTCTGGGTTTTTTCCCCTCCTTGTTCAGACTTTTTCTCCATAGGTTTAACACACGTTTCTTCCACCAGTCCACTTTGCCATTTTTTTAAAAATCCGATTGATTTCAGACTTGGTACATACTTAGACCACCACCCACAAATGGTCCCAGACGAAATTCGTGATCATGACATCATCAAGTGTCAGGTTACGTCACATTATAGATGCATTTTCCCCATACGGTTTGTACATGTTTTAAAACGCTCCATTTCGGCCCTTTCGTAAATCCGATCAACGTTACACTTGGTACACACTTAGACCATCACCCACAGATGGTCCTAGACGAAATTCGTGATCGTGACGTCATCAGGTTTCGGGTTACGTCACATTAAAGATGCATTACACCTGTATGTCTGATGGACTTTTCACTTGGCAGATGACATTCGAAGTGACTTCATCAAGTGTTCATCACATGCACAGAGTATTTCAAATATCCGAAACAACTTGTGTTTGTCCACAAACACATTTCTAGTTTTTTCTTGTGATAAATCGCCATACATTGCGCGACGCCGGCGATTTTTCATGTCAGACAGCGCCGACTGCATTCAGTCAGAAAGGAAGGATTTCCTCCAGCAAAAAAAAGGGCTTGAGAAAGACGTAGTGGCGTCTGTGTTTTGCTTTTTTAATATGGTATGACCTTTAAGTTGTCATTCATTGCCGCGATGATCGCCTGTAAAACTGACAAGACAGTATTTTACTGTTGGGCCCTTATTTTTTATCAAGTTAGTGTGGATTTTTTTAAATTCATCATTCCATCCAAAATGACTTCCGCAACGTAAAGCAGATTTCTTTTAAATCCTAACGACCCCGTTTCTGTATCACAAATAGTTTTTGTTTTCGGTAACAAATGCAATTATCTGACTCTTTATGGTTCATGTAATGCAAATTAACGCGGTTTGGCACATTCACGGCGCCATTTCTGTCGTAGTGTAAGCAAATCGCAGGTCGACCAGACGGTGACTTTAGGTGAATCATCTCCTGTAGAATATGTTAGTCTTTTAGTCGGGGGTCCAACACTTGCACCCTCCCCCAGAACCCACTGTGCTACCGGTACTTTTTAATCCTTGGCATTTCTCCAATAGGAACAAATGTTAACAATGACAATCTAGGGATGCACTCTCTCAGGAGACCACTTATTGGAACAGCCTCTGATTGAGCTCAGATGCCTTTTCTTAGCACTATAGGGTTGAAAGGGGAACAAACAAAACGCAATAACCTCCGAGTACACCTTGACCGATCTCAATCAAACTTAGCACAATTAATCTTCATCAATATTACGTACGGAAAATGTTAGGTTGTCATGGAAAAAAACTATAGAGGCCGCTGCAGTCAGACGAAATAAACGTTTGGTTTGAAAATTATCCGAAACATTTCTCGTCCTTGGTCGTTACAGTTTACCTTTCATATTGAAGCCATTAAAACCAAAAACAGCACCTCATTTATGTCGATATCTGTGTCTTAACGCAGCAGTAGAGCATAGATTTCAGAGCAATATTAAATTTATTGAGTGTTGGACTGGAGCCGGTTGCCCAATCATACGCAAGTCTTTCCAAAATAATGGACTTTTGCCCATCATCTGGTCCAAGTTGTTGAATCGGTTCGCCCTCTCGTGTTTTTACGAGGAAAACATCACAATATGATATTACTCCTTTCTCTGTCCCTTACCCAAAGTTAGCTTTGGCATTATAATTTTTTTGGTGTCACCATCTACTCATTTAACTATTTGCGAATATGTATCTGTGGTCATATACAATGCCTTTATTGTTTCTTTACATCTATCAGCAGCGTGTTCAACTGGATCGCTACTGTAAGCCTTGGGTGATTTGCTGCTTTCTTCAACTTGTTCATGCTGTGCTTCTGTCAATCCGCTTGAGCCCTTTTCATCTGTAAAAAAAAAGAGAGGAAATATCAATTACGAAAACGTTATTTTTTTAAAGAATGTTAGAAAAGAAGTTGATTGCAGTTTTTATTATACAGCATTAGGCTACCTTCCACCTCTGCATGCCTTCATGGATTTTGATGGAACTAAGGCCCTGCCCTCTCATAAAAAAAACAATACTTTTTAGGAGCCAATCTTCGACTGAAAATTACCAGCTCCTGCAGGAATAAGAACTTAAAGCATACGGGGATCAACTGCGGAAAAAGCTGACACGTGCAATCCGCGGATCACTTTGTTTTGATTTTTTAGCACAGGATTTGCTTAACTTTCTCCAGTTACTAAGCATACCTGGTAAGCTCAGAGCCAAGTCTTTTCTGCCCGAATCATCCAGAGCCTTTTCCAACGTCTGCCATGCTTCTGGGTAGTTTTCCTGCTTTTTCCACCATGTGCTTAACATCTCAGAGCACTGCTTTACAATATGGTTGGAATGATTAGCCTTTATTGTATCAATGTCTTCTTTGCCAAACTCCAAGAGTACGGCCAATATTTCCCAGCTTATTCCAATGCCCTTAGATAGACTCCAAATGGATCTGCCGTCAGGTAGCGTATCTAAAAATGAATACCAATGTCATTGCATCATAAATAAAGCGCATGCATGTAATAATTATTGTTAGAATGTATACATTGGGAACGACTGCGATAACGTAGATATCCCAAGATAAACGGGTAATAATTACGTTCCAACCGTAATACAAGGGATATGCATAGTCAAATAAGTGTCAAAAAAGCTTACTTTAAGATGGTTGTTCTGTTAACGATCTCTATGTAATGGCACTGCGTTGTATTTCATTTTTCGAGGGAAATATTCTTCGATCGTCAGTTTTCACCTTACATGATCAGTTCGTGGCATACTTTGGGTCTCTTTTTTTAGGTGTCATGTCGGTCATATTCTCTAGTTTATTTGATATTTCTAGTTTGATGAAGTTTATTTTCGAATTTCTATTTTTCTAGCGACAAAAATTTAATTTGATCTTGTATAGCCACAAGTTTTGGTTGAATTTAAACAAAATTATAACTTATAACCCAATTTTAAGTAGTTGCAGTTTTCACCCTTGCTTGGGTAAAATTAACCCAGGCAATTGTTCAGTGTGTATTTCATTAGCTTTTCAAGACCGAAAAAAATCCAATCGGGTAAAAAATAATTGAATTATATAGCCAATTTAAAATAAGTGCCGATTTGTTTTTATCTGTCCACGGTCTCAATAATTGTCATTGATTAGAGATTGGATTTGGGGTGAGGGTGATTTTTTTTCTTTAATGTTTTAATCTTTATTTCTTTATTGGGTTCTCCTTTTTTTTGTAACACTGGTCATGTATCCTTTTGGAAGAAATGGTAGTCCTTAAAAGGACTGTTTCATGTGCTGCCCCGTCTCTACTGGCTAGCCTTTTCCATGGAAGCAAGTTTCGGACCGTGTTCTTATTGCCGCGGTCAAAATATCAGTCGCCATGGACAAAACGACAAACCTGCACTCTTGTATTCCATTGGCCATCACTCAATAAATATTTACCCGATTGGAAAGCTTTTTTTCGTTGGCTTCTTCATATCCCAGGAATTTGGCCTGTGCTTCCCAGGATGATTCAGGTTTCGAAGCCAATTCCCGAAAGAACTGATCATCAACAGGGTGTTTGATGCATTTTCGTCAGTACAAGGTGATACCTCTTTGGGAATGATTTTTGAATTAAAATCAAAGAGAAGCAAATGAAGTAAGACATCCGTGCTTTTGTCCTTGTCATTGTTTACTGAATTAAATATATTGTGATTTTTCGGTAAAGTTGACATGTTGAAAGATTTTTTTTTTCGATACAAATTCATGTATACTTTTTTGACGATACGGAAATTATAGCGGTTGATGATGGGTGCAATTAATTCAAATATCTCTTTAACTACAGATGCTAACCTCAGAGAATCCTAGAGAGGAGCTAAACAAAAACTAAACCATCTATCATGACATTTCTAACAACTGCACTTTCAAAGCGGTCTTTTTCATGACTTGAATGTAGTAATTTAGGCTGATTTTATTCTGGATAGTAACGTTACCCATAAGCATTTACCTTTCCGTCCACCGCCCAGTAAGCCATCAGTACACAGACGGAGTGAGATGTTCTCGTCCTGATGAATTCCACAGTCGTGAAGTGTCAGCAAGTTATGGAGCTGGTAAAGTAATTAAGATCCTGATAAAACACACACTCTTTGAGCAAAGATTTAACGACAACAGTTTGGGGTTTAGGTTACACAACAGTGTAAAAAAAAAAGCAATTAAACATAAATTTAACTATTCACCGTGGTGCATTTTTATCGTGAGACTAGATTGGTAGGGCTAAAATCAAAATTATTCATTTTCATAATGGTTTATCGTTTTTTTTTCTTCAGTGCGTACGATCTTCAGTGTCTAATCTCCAGTGTACCGACTTCAGAAGCAGAATTATCTGTACCCACGTCATGTAATGTGAATCAGAAGAGGTTGTCACTAAAACCCGCAATGCATGGCCTTTAATTAGATGTAATGTTAATTGGTACTTAACAACATGGTTACTTTGTATAATATGGAGCCTTCTTTACCTCAAAGTTACGAAAGTTTCTTCGGATGTACAGTCGCTGCTGTTGAGGCCGGATACTAATTTTCTCGCAAATTATCTGTTTAAGAGTCGAGACACATGTCTCTGGATCCATTTGTAAACACATTGTCGTAGGTCTATGTGCCAGGTGAATTTGGATGAAGACCTGCAGTGCCACATATCTGAAACTGTTAGAATGGTGGACTTGCATTATAACGCCATATAAATACTTTGAACATACATTTTCAAATAAATGATGGAAAGCTCAACTGTTCTTGAAACTATTTTTTCAAAGTAAGGAAAGATAATTGTTTTCAAAGGAGTACGAATAGCCGCGTTTAATCATGTTTTACCACATAAGCTGAGGCTTGTCTTGATGACACACTTGTTCCCTTTTCATTTTCTCTTCCTCGGTTGATGCCGCTCCGTTTTGTTTGCTCTCCTCGTCAACTCCTGCATCGTGACGCCTTTCTGGCTCGGGTCCAGATGCTTCGTCTCTCGATTCGCTCGTTACTGATGCAAGAAGGAAAACAAAATTAGAGTACAACATATTTTTGACGATTGTTTCACCATAGTTTCACATAGGGTATCATAGCAATATTTGAATATAAATATGAATGTAAATCTGGTTCTTCTTTGAACCACAAAAATCACAAGAAATATTCAAATGGTGTTACCGGCAACCTCCCATTCATAAGAAATCTGCTTGTTCATATTTTAGCTCACCTAGTACATTTCGAGCCAAATCCGACAACCCGATGGCCTCCAATGCTCGTCTCAGCTTCTGAGCTGCTTCGTTGCGATCTGTCGTCTTTTCCCACCAAGTGAGTAGCATGTGACGGCTCTCTTCAGTGCTGCCTTCGTAGGTGGTTTGGATGCCTGCAATTTCCGCTTCTTCATATCCTAGGTGTTTGGCCAATTCCTTCCATGATGATTCGATTTTTGATGACAAGTCCTTTAGGTACTCATCATCAATGTTGGCTTTATCTGTCAAAACATTTTAACTTCAGTGAAACATTTTCAAATGCGTACACCACGGTATAAGTTACCAACGACACCTAGGCCTTTTACAAAAAATAGACTCGTTACCAAACCGACGTTGGTGAATTTAGGTTGTTATCTCGGCCCAATTTTAAACATTTATCTAGCGTTATAATAATGTCAAAATACGTTGGAACAACATTACAAAACTGACGATGGATCTTCATGGAATTTAGGTTGATAATTTCGTGACGCAATTCAAACTTTTATTCATTGTCAGGTTCTTATGTCGAAATCTGTACGTTAGAACAACGTTAAAAAACCGACGTTGAATAGACATGGAATTTCGGTTGTTAATATTTCAACCAATATTCAACGAATTTAGATTGTTTATTTAAATAAACATTTCTTCCTAAACTCTATCATTTACCTTTTGGTACATTGTCATCATTTGCGTCTTCTACTGACAGCCGGAGAGAGATGATTTTATCCTTGTCGACGCCATTCTCCTCAAGTGTGAGCAAGTCACAAAGCTGTCAAATTAAAGTGAATTACATGTATATATGAAAAAAAATTAATTACCTGATCAGGACAAAAACAGAGAAGATTTTAGTTGTGCGTTGTTCAAACATTTAGCAAATTACGTTCGTTTAAACCTTGGTCGGAATAAATGGATTCTGAGTGTCTCATATAAATAAACAAATTATTGATTAGGCCTAAAACGGGAAAACGTAAGATTTTGCATTTTATATTACCATTTTTCAAAAACTCCTACAATGTGACAATCTAGGTCTGGATAATTCAAATTGAACGGAGTAGCCGTATTGGTATTATTAATAAAAGTATACCTACCTGGACGTTTTCCCTGATGTACAGACGCTGATGTCGTGCCTCCACACCGGTCTTCTTCTGGATTACCTCTTTCAGAGATGAGACGGATGTTTCGGGGTGGAGTTCGAAATAAAGTGTCTTGGGTCTAAGTGAGGAGGGAGTCCGGACAAAGACCTGCAGTTTCTGTTTTACGTCTTTGGTATTACTGTGAAAATAGGAAGAAATCTTGCCTAGTTTTAGAAATGCATTATTCTAAGAAAGAACGGGATCTGTGAACAATTCACTTGGAAACTATAGTCAAAGGATCCACTGTCATGAGTCTAGTAAACGTATTGAACACGTTTGCTTAACTTTTACACCAGAATCTGGAAAGAGTAAATGATTCAACAAATCCTTCGATAAGTTACAATTATCATATAACCCTCATTTTACATGAATAATGTCATTGCTGTTTACCTCTGACTTGCATGTGTCTGCTTTGATTGTCTTCGAATCCATCGTTTTGATGGTCTCCTCTTTGCACAGCAATCATCAGAAGACGTTTTCCTGTAATGCAGTACAGACAGGAAAGCTTGTTTCCTCCTTGGTTTGACTTTAGTCTTCCTGCTGATGAGTTTGGCGTTGGAGTGGTCGTACACGACGGCTGTTGCCTTAATGTATGCATCCAACTGCTGAACGGTCTTTCGCGGCATCTTGGTAGTAATCAGCACCAGTTAAGGTATCCTTACTGAAAGAACATAAAAAAAAGATCACTGTTAAAACTGGAGCAATGCTATCCACCTTTTTTAAATTGCTGGACATAAGCCAATTCACTGATACCACCATCTTTAAATTTGTGTTCAGTGGGCAATTCAATCACGTCCCAGCACGTAGATGACACTACATATATACAGCATGCTTGCGACTTTTTCGAGCAAATGAGTTGACTTGAGACTGCAGGGCTTGTGATGGACTGGTGATGCACTTTTGATGGACTTGTAATGGACTTCTGATAGACTTATGATGGACTGAATATGAGGGACTTATGATGGACTTGTGGTGGACTTGTGATAGACTTTGGATGGAAATGGGATGGACTTGTGATGGACTTGTGATGGACTAAGGATGGACTTGTGATGGACTTAGGATTGACTTGTGATAGACTTAGGACGGATTTAGGATGGACTTGTGGTGGACGTGTGATGGACTTGTGATAGTTTTGTGATGGACTTGGGATGGAAATGGGATGGACTTGTCATGGACTTAGGATGGAATTGTGATAGACTTGTGATGGACTTTGGATGGAATTGCAATCGATTTAGGATGGACTTGTGATAGACATGTGTTGGACTTGTGATGGACTTGGGATGGACTTGTGATGGAACTGTAATGGACCATCTGTCGATGGGAGCGCTGTTCAAAACCGACGTTTCTGCACACAAAGGGCCATAATGTGGTGTTTTGAGGGCGATATGTGCAAAATTCAGAATTAGGCACTCAAAACGGCAGATGCCACAAAAAGGGCACCATTTCTTTTTTAAAAGGGCACTTGTTCGGAAAAAGGGCACTTTGTAAAAAAAGGCACTCTATACAAATTATTGGGGGTAAGCCCGTCAAAAAAAGGGCATTTGAATGGAAAAAGGCAGTCTTTCCAAAATATTGGGGGTAAATACCCCCCCCCCCCCCGCCGGCTACGCCTATGAGAAGCATTTACATATGAGTACAATTTCTTTTGCTGTTCAGCATCCAGATAGCAGGTTCAAATGCTAACTTATTGGATAGATTGCATGAACAAATGGTTGTCAACAATAGGGTCTCTTGTGGGTGTGAATGAATACGCACACACAGGCTCTGCATGTGGGGTAAACGACTGAGCCCACATCAACAAGGTGTTACTCAAATGATATATTTTCACTATTTACAGAATGCAGAATGTACTTTCTTAAAACAGTGTACATGAAGTTACACTTGCCTATATTTGTTCACCCAGAAATATATTTCAGCTCGTCATACACAAAATGTGATGTTGAAATTTTTTTTTATTGTATCACTGAATAAAGTGGACGTTTATGTCATTTCGTTCAGTTCCTTATTGCCGTCTGAAGCACTCACTCCATTTAATTCATGCTTTTCAGTAAAAGCCTTTGCTTAATTTTTATCCACACATATGCAAGTAAATGCATACAAATTGGTAGTAAAAGCAAATGGTAGTTTTTACTCCACCGACCCACTGACTCTCAAATCTATGACTTCTGGGATCACACACAAAAGAGTGTCATCCAGCCCTCATGTCCCGGGAAATGTGCCACTCAAAATGAAATGAAACTTCACTGTTTACATCATATAGCGCACTTTCAAAAGAAAACAAATATTAAATTTTACCCACCAAATTACCCACATTCATTTCAAAATTTGCATCGGACTCGTGTAGTAATCGGACTCTTTTTCTCTTTTATTGGTTAATCCCTCTCACGTGACCGGACCCTCTAATAATTATCTCTGCCTTTGAGTGAGCACGCGCAATACCACAAATGAGTCCGTATTTCACAAAACCAAAATTCACGCTACACCGGCATTTTGGAAAATACATCATATCATGTACATCTTTTTCAAAGGACAGATAATTCAGAAAATTCAGCATTTGGGTTTGGCCTTTACTGCCGTTATCACACGAGTACTGTATGCTCAGAGCTGTCAAAGTAATAATTCAGAGAAAACAATCCTCTTTAAGAGCGAGGTGCTCCCCAACCCTGAACTGAAATACCGCCGTTCATAACTTTTACCTGTCATCTCTTTTTCGGTTCAGTTTCAGGGTGAACATGCACTCTACACTTTGTTACGACAAATCCTCATCAAGTTTTGTAAAACTTCCATCTCCGTGCGAGTTAACTGCTCCAAAGTAAAATTAATCAGAGCAACCACATTATCAAGACTTCACGATCGAGACCGAAGAAGGGAAGAAACAGTCGTGGAAAAAGTCAAGAAATCCTGGAATGATACGCTGATGCAAGTGCAACGTAGTACCCTACTACGCCCAGTTCCATATTTCCGCATATCGATTTCAGAATTCCCCTGATGTAATACTACTATTAATATATTTTAACAATGGGGGCGACGTCACAGTGCGCGTGCGCTGTACCGTCCTGTCAACTTGACTGGTTACCGAGCCCTCCATCATCGATTATGACTTCGAACAGAGCGGGAACCAGTCTACCTGTTCACCTCCTGATCGTTACGGTCCAACAGACTCGTTGACCCGATTGTTGCACAGACTGCAAGCTCTCATAATAGTGAAATATTCTTTATCAGTAATACTTTCTGTCACTTTAGGCGAAAAAAATGAGTTGCTATGCAAGGTAGTTCCTGAGATGTCTTGGTCAAAGAATCTGTATTGTTTGAACCATAATGACCTTGACATTAGACCAAGGGGTCAAAACTCAATATCTTTGGAAGCCCAAGACCAACCCCAATACATACAAAACAAATATGCCAAATTATTCTAAAATTATTCTGTTGAACCATTTCTATTGTTTCAAGGCTCCATGAAGTAAATTTATCGTAGCTAGGTCTGGAGCATATTTTGTGCAAACTTTTACTCATTTTAAATTTATGAAAAGTATTTAACATTCCTTTTGGTTAATTTTATTGAAAAGTAAGTTCTTCAAACAATCAAAACCGTACCTGTTTTACCATACAACTGAGGGCGCTATTGCTGTGGT